CTCTCGTACCATCCGACGTCGATATCTGCAGGCGTACCCATTGAATTCATGTAATATTACCGCGTGGCACGCTGTAATGGAACCCGGTGCCTCGTATATCCCGATACACTTCCGCGTGCGCGCTCCGGCATTTTATGCGTCCGTTTTAATCGAAAATGTAATATCGCTAACTGCGTTACTGAAACCCGATGGGACGGCTCTTCCTTTACTTCTAACAGCGAGAAAAGCCCACACGCGCTATTTGAAGCCACATTTATATTCTCATTGGAAGGGAAATGATAAAGTAATTAGGTTCGACTTCGATATCTTTATATATGAGTTTAATGGGAAAAAGAAAAGAAAAATCAAAATTTTTTCGATATCATTTCCGGTTATGGAAATTTATGTTAATAGTGTTTAAATTTTGCAACATTTGTTTTGAAAGTATTTTAGGAAAAGGAAAATTTAATTTGAATTCTAGAAATGGGTTCTTCTACACGGAAGGAACGATTTTGTTGAAAGGTCTAAAAATTTTGCTAAAAACAGATGTGAAAATAATTTTTTGTTGAATCAACAAAATAATTTGTTGGAATGTTAAAGCTGATAAGTATTGTTATAAAACGTGATATTCTAGCAATCACTTTGACTTTTACACAAAATTATTTCGATTGTTGAACAAAAATTATTTTCAGATCTGGATTCAGCAAAATTGTTCTTTCCGTGTAGAAATGCATTAAAGATAACATAGAATACATAAATATTGATATTTTCGGTGATGTCTTATATATCGAAAAATAAAAATTGTTGTGAATTTTATATTCTGCTTTTTATGCTTTTGAACCACGCGCCGATTACTATCCAGTTTGAAACACAGTTTTATATCAAAGCTGGAAATGTAAAATCACATTATAAAATTGATAATCAATTTAATATTATTCATCTTAATCTTATAAATCTACAACTAATTTATTGCAAAAAATATCGAAATATATTGAGTGAATATTCAGAATATTTTATGTAATTTTTATACCGATCTATTATCTCGATATACACATATAAAATAAAAAAACATATCATCGATACGCACTGGTAGAGTTACTGTGCGTTTATTTCGAGATTGGCGACTGTAATGAAATTAAATTGAACTGCAAAATAGAAGTAACAAGTAACTGCGAATTAAGGTAATTGCCAGTATAATTAATATCCAGAAGAATAATGATTGCCTGTACATAAAGTACTTATGAATGATTAATTCTGCAAGTAATGACAGAAAAATAATAATTTACTCACTTCATTGCGATTGTTGCGCCGTCACCTAATGTCTTTTCCTCTTCTTATTGTTAGATTCGTTCATTGCACCCGTACAACATGACACTCACGAAAGTACGGTTACGATCGTATATATACATCACGTGAAATAAATGTATACGAATGTTCTATTTCATGATTTCAATTAATTTTATTTAATGAGCAGTTATTGTATATCTTGCGCTGAATTTTATGCATTTATCAGTACTCTCACAATCTAGGACAACGATTAATTCTATTCAATTGAAAGAACACCTTGAAATCGAAAATTACTTGAATCTTAATTTATGACAAAACTTGTTTTAATATCTTAATATATATATAAATATATGTATATTATTAATAGCAATTTTTAACTATTACGTATGAATTATTTTTTTCCTGTTAATGACAGTTTGATATATTAATTACATAATTTAAAGATAACAATTAAATTCATTATTTGAAAAATAAAATTTATAATTTTATTTTAATCGAGGAATTGAAAAACCAGTATTTTTTACACGGAAAGAACAATTTTGCTGGATTCAGATTAGAAAATAATTTTTGTTCAACAATCTAAATAATTTTATTGGAAAGTCAAAACGATTGCGAGAATAGTAAAATGTTTTATAGTAACGCCTATCATTTTTAACTTTCCAACAAATTATTTTGATTATTGAACACAAATTATTTTCAGATCTGCATTTAGAAAAATTTTTAGACCTTTCAACAAAATCGTTCTTTCCATGTACTTAAATTTATTACAGACGTCCTACATTTTTGTTTCTAAAAGAATCAAAAAATTATGATTTGAATATATCAAAAAAAAAAAGATTAAATTATTGTCAAGAAACGCCGTCGTGCCTTAACTTTGTTATTTTTAATTGATAAAAATTACGATCACAGAGAGAATTGAAGTAAATACGTTTTCTCTTCTTAAAATGCTTTCTTAATCAAATGAACTCAATCGTTATCTTAAGCGACGCTAATGAGTCCACAAAACGAAGCAATAAGTCGATATTAATTTAATACGAAGGAATATCTGCTTGGCGTAATTTTATTTTATAAAACATTGAATATTTTGTGGAATAACAATACTGTTGGCATGCCTTCGGTATCTGTTATTGTAACGTACAGCGCACACTGTGTTTACAAAAGGTCGCCGCCGCGCTACCATTCGTATGCCACACTTCAGCCGGCAGATATAGCGGCGAGCCGTTCCGTGCGCGTCGCATTACTCATTGGAACGCGGTCGCGTTCGAGTGTTAGGCGAGAGCCTAACGCTATTATTCCTTACGAACATTTTCGCGGTTATCAGCGCGATTAGTCAACCTCGCGCTTATTTTTCCCACTCAAAATACCTAGTGTCATATACATGTACAGCAATTCCGGGAATTAAACGCGGATCTCTCGCTCGATAGGCGAGATTCTAGCACTGAACTATCCCAGCATCCCCGTAGGCATATACATACAGGCGCTGATTATTCACCGTAACGGATATTTTGCATAATTTATATACTTAAAAGAATCGGCAGAGAATAGGAATTACATTGTTTTGTGATATTTACGATCGTTCCTTTAATACTGCTTAGGCTTATCTCGAATTTATCTCGCGTCGCGCTTTGCATTTTTCAACGATTTAAACATCGTTGGCCCAGCTATATTTTCGGAGGAGAAACGAAATAATAGGCCGCGCGCGTAAATCGAGAGAATGATTATAATACTCGTAATACCTGCTTTGAAATATGTACATAAGTAGAAAACTAGAATATGTAATTTAGTCTTCAATTGATTTAATAATAAAGAAACAATTATTTATAATTCTTTAACTTATACAATTGTTTGAACAAATATTATTTTATTTTAATATGTAATAATAATTGTTTCGGTAAATACTAATTATTTGGGGCGCTGCTATACAATTTGTATTTGTATTTTACAGATCAACGTGCGCATAATTCACAACTCCACTGCTGCGCATCGTGTCGGTGAGTGATTATCTTTTATTTTAATCTGAGTAATGGACTACGAAGTATATAAAATATACATGGATATTATGGGTGTATCAGATTAATAGCATAAGGCATAAGAATGCGAGGATAGATATAAAAGCTTATAAATCCATCACCTTAAAATAGATGAGCCAGACAGATTAGAAATAATAAATATAATGAATGTTTTTTTAATCTTGGAACATACGATTATCTGTTTAATGCACGTGCATACAAGAATGCACATTTATATTCTCATAAAACTCGTTACGTAATTATTTTCAGAAAACAGAATGCTATGAAAATATAACAGGTTAATAATTCTATTTTTAGAACTTCTATTATTAAATGCATTATGAATAGTACAACTTTTGATTTTTTTTTGCTTAGGCAATTAGTGGAAAATAAATAAAAAGATAAAGAAGGAAAAAAGATAAAATAAAATATTAATGCTTTTAAAGAAAATGTAAAGTTTTGATTTAATTTTCTTTATATTTATAAAATTAAATTAAATTTGTATAAAGAACGTTAGGAAATAATTATAAATCCTTACATGCTTTATTTTTTTTTATTTCCTTTTTATATCCCTACAGGATTAAATATTAATATACGTTTATACAGCAAAAAAGCAATGTTCAGAAATATTTCTAATTGTAAGATGGAATGTATTATAACTATTATAAGTACAATTAAAGAGAAAATATTTTACAATAATAGCATAATACAATTAATTCTTTTGAGCGGAAATAGTGCTAATAATTATTAAGTATATTTATATATTCTTATAATCACAATTACTAATCTTTTGTATAGTCCAGCCAGTCATATCTATATTTAATTTTATATCATTTGAAACGGAATAAAGTTACAGGATGTTCCGCAGTAATCACACAACGTGTATTTAGCGGCCAAATTAAGGACCGTATAGGCAATTTTACGATTTTGCCGGCACAATGTATTCTGTAAGTTTGATATAAACGCAGGCACGTAATTAGACGGCCTTATTTAGCTAAATGTGTGGCGAGGATAGGCTCCAATTAGAGTACAACTGAAATCATCTGGAGCAGCGTCGAGCGCGTTTTACGAGTGTTGGACGTTGGCAGTCCCGTGTATCCGCGTTGTCCTCTCCCTCTCGCTCATCGCTTTTATATTTCCGTTTTCTTTTCACTCTCATTCCGACCGTAATTCCTGAACCGGCGTTCCTCTTTTTCCACCCATCCCCTCATTGTCCCCCTCTCCCTCTCCCCCCTCTTCCCCCCTCTTTGATCCTCTCCGTGGTACACTTAATTGGCGATAAAACGAAACCCGCGGCCTCGTAAAAAAATCTCGCCTACCCCCACATTGTATTAATTAGAGCCCTTATAATGCCTTAAATAAGGCGCAGCTTAGTTATGGGTTGGCCGAGCAAAGTTGTGCTCCGTGTTATCTCGCTAGTTGCCTCCCTCCTTTCCTCCCCGTCACCGCCGCTGCCGCCGCCGCCGCTTGTTCCTTCCTCCAGCTCCTCTCTCTCGAGAGAGAGAAAGATCCCTGAACGACCAATTATCAGCCATAATATCATCGGGGCCCGCTGGGCCCGGATTAATCGTATCCGGTTTCCTACCTTACGGAAAAGGCGCGGTGAAAGAATTTTCTGGCTGGCAGGAAATTCCTGAAAGCGGGCAGTAAAACGCTCAGGTATGATGCCCCACGTTTATACTGAGATGTTCATTGATTTAATGCCCCCACGGTGCAGCCATTTTAATATTTAATCCGTCGATCGTACAGCTTCATTTTGCTTAAACGGTTGAGAGTTAATTGTAAGGTGTAACAGAACGTAGTATTTTCTAATTCGTTATACTGTTGATCGAACATATTAATTGCCATGTCATTTTTTCTTCTGCCTTGTCATTTAAATACGAATGAAAAATTTTATGATAATAATAACATTTTAATTTAAAACATTTTATAGCAAAAAAATACAAATTTGAAAGAAAGCTTCCTGGGAATTTTTCATGAAATTAAGCTTCATTTATATTTATATAAATGATGTGGCGAGTTAATATTTAATAACATGGAACATTTCTTTAATCGATGAATGAAATGATAACAGAAATTAAAAATCGTTTTCATAAATTTAAATTGAATTCCAGGAAGTTGCAAATCTACAATTTAGTTGGATGTGCGAAAGTAAAGTTTTCGATAGTCTCTCGCTATTATATAGATATCGGCTTTCGTATTTCTTCTTTAATGACAGGCCGCTTATAGTTAGAGAGATCGTAGAGCAGATTGCAGGCAAACTGTACACCTATTCTGGAAACGGAGTTACAAAAATAAATGCCGGGCTGTGCAATGGCGCCTTAAGACGACTATAATTTGATATTCGATGCGAAATTAGATGCGCCGGAAATTCGTCGCCCGCGGCGCGGAATCGGATCGCCTACTCGCTTAAAATTTAGCCTTATAGCGTATCGCTCTTAAACAACGCGTCCCAGTTTTAATTCTTGGAAATGCAGATCAATATTATTTTGTCGCATCTGCCAAAAGGAGGGTGTTTCGTAAAAGGACCTTTCATGACTATTAATTCACCAAATTCAATAAATACAGGGTGCTCGTGGATGACGCTAGACTTAATAAATTCTTCGTATAATTCAAAGGTTGTTTTCTTAGCAATAGTTCGATCAAGTGGTCATTTTTTTCACTTTTTTAATCTTTAATTCGAAATTTTTTAATTTTCTTTGTGAGAACAATTGTGATGCTCTTGGACAACGCTAAACTTAATAAATTCTTCGTATAATTCAAAGATTAATTGTTTTTTTAGTAATAATTCGATCGAATGGTCATTTTTTTACTTTTTTAATCTTCAATTCAAAATTTTTTAATTTTCTTTGCGAGAACAATTGTGATGCTCTTGGATAACGCTAGACTTAATAAATTCTTCGTATAATTCAAAGGTTAATTGTTGTTTTAGCAATAATTCGATCAAGCGGTTATTTCTTTTTTCCTTTTTTAATTGGCAGTTCAAAATTTAATCTTCTTTGTGAGAACAATTGTGACAACAATGTAATTTAAACTTTTTTAAAATGAAATTTACTTCAATTAAATGTAGAATCTAATTCGACCATTTATTTTCATCTCGACACACAAATGTCCAAAAAAATTTGCAAACATTTTTTTTTTCCGAGATTTTATTTCTGTTAATATTTGTTCATATCTGTGATATAATATTTAACACACGTGTCCAAATTAAGCTTCCAACGTGTTCGGAAGCGCACGTCGTAAAATTATGCGGACCCAATCCTGGCGCGAGAGGTATAAGGGTACATCGCGACCGGATTTCGGCGGTCGTTAATGCGCCGCGTTGGTCCCGAAGAACGACCTGGTTCCTGGGCGTCAACGGCACGCGCTTGGGTGGGACTAATATCCAGGACCCCGTTGGGGTCTTACTCTTGCACCGCGTCGATACTTATCGCGCGCACTGTGGACTGCATATAATTACAATTAAAAGAGATCGGTGCCGATAACGGAGACGACCTCCGCATCCATCTTCCTCCAGGCCCAACTCCCTCCCCGCCTTCCCCCTTCGGATTCCTCCCCCTTGCTCCCCCTCTTTTTCTCCCAACCGCCCCCTCTATCGAGGCTCTCTTATGGTGCAGCCGATGCATCTAGCTATATGGTTAAGGGGGGCCAGATTACGGGGAGGGAAGAATGGTGGCATAATATCCGCTTGAACTTAAGTTATATTCCTCCTCGTGCAGCCGAGATATCGGTGCGGAGGTGGAGTTCGGTTCGAGGGTATGCTAATTCCGGCCTCGGGCCACCACGCAGCCCTTAATAGCCAGCTGAGCAGCTCTTATGCCGGGCAACTAGCGCTCGTATATACGGAGAGAGAGAATGAGAAAGAGAGAGAGAGGGAGTGAGGGCCGTTGAGTGTATCTCTCGTAGTTATAGAGGCATCCTCCTCTCGGACCGTCTCTCGTCGGTACCGTCGGCGAGAATCACCGGTTTTTCGGAATGTTAATGCCTCGGCGCGCGGGGGCGCCCCTATATGGGTTCACGACGGGCGATTAGCGCTCGTACGTGTAATTGGGATAATGTCTCTTCTCTCTCTCTCTTTCTCTTTCTCTCTATTTCTCCTACCCACTTTCTTCTTGCCTTTCGGCGGTGTGATCGCTCGTGCTCGGCGCGATTCCCGCTACATTTTTATTTAATCTGACAATAGAACGTCAGAATAATCTCTCCCATAATTCGTTGCGGCTCGTCGCGCAAAAATACGAGGAAGATTTTGCGAAAAAAAAATGCAAGAAGAAGAGAATTATCTGTAAAAGTAATCAAGAGAGTACTTTAGTCATAAAGTCATTGACTTCTTGTGCTACGTTTGACTTCGTCAAAAATTGTCCTTCATCATCTCGTCACGGATCCTTCCACGAATTTAGCTCGCGAGACACGAAAGGGCCCTAATTCTTTCAGGTCCATCTACGAGGAAGGATCACGCCGCGATGGAACATCCGACACCTGTCGGCTCAAAAGGTTCCGCTTAAAAATCGCGCACTTTTTCGAAGGGGGTTGGCTCTTCCTCGCGCGCGTTTTGAACTCTTGCGCGGCGTACAGCGGCGGCGGCGGCGGCGGCGTCGCGGGCACGATCGATCGATCGATCGTTATTTATCGGCTCTAATTCGTCTCCATTTAGAAAAAACATCTGCCTCGGCCATCGAGGCGCTTTTGCACCGCCGGCAATGACGGGGCCCAACGGCGAGCAATTCTTAGAGAGCGAGCTCGGAACCAACGCCGGCCGACGATTCCTACCTCATAGGCAGATAATCGCCTTTGATTTCTCTCTTCGATTCCTCCCTCCCCTCCCCTTCCGCCTGGCGCCCTCTCTCTCTCTCTCTCTCTCTCTCTCTCACCCCTTTCGTGCCCTCACCTCCCCACCCACCTCCGCATCCCGCGCGCCGCCAGCCCTCATCTCCTTCTCCTCGAAAGTCCGTGCGATCGGAGATCACTCCCTTCTTATATAATTA